ATTTTTTTAACCCAAGCCTCTGTAAATAATTACCTCTTCAGTTAACCCTTTGTTTGCTATGCCATCTGCATCCTGTGAGGACACTGATTATATCAAGCAGTTAATAAACTATTGTTATTATGGTCTACACTCTCAACAGATTTTTGTTCGTGGATACTTGAAATCAATCACAATATTGAAAAGTTCTATTTGGTATACATAATGCTAATAATGCCTGACCATCAGTAGTTTTTTTTTTTCTTTTTTAAAAAAATCTTATTTTTGGCTGCCCTGGGTCTGCAAACAGGCTTTCTCTAGCTGTGGTGAGCGGGGGCTATTCTCTAGTTGAGCTTCTCATCAAGGTGGGTTCTCTTATTGTGGAGCACAGGCTCTAGGTTGCAGTGATTTCAGTAGTGGTGTTCCTCAGGCTTCACTGCCCCCAGGCCTATGGGATCTTCCTAGAACAGGAATGGAATCAGTATCCCTTGCATTGCAAGGTGAATTCTTAACCACTGGACCATCAGGGAAGCCCAATAATTTTTTTTAATTAAAAAAAAAAAAGTACTTAACCTACTGTATACCATATAGAAGTATACTCAATACTTGAAAAAAAATTTTTTTTTAAATTTTATTTTTTGGCCTTACCAGGGCCTTGCGGGAGATCCCCATTAGGAATTGAATCCAGGCCACAGCAGTGAAAGTACTGAGTCCTAACTGCTGGACTGTCAGGGAATTCCCTCTACTCAATATTTTGTAATAAAAGAATAAAAGAATCTGGAAAAGAATATGTATATGAGAGAGATATATATATTAATCGCTCTGCTGTACACCAGAAACTAACACGACACTGTAAATGAAGTGTACCTCAATTAAAAAAAAATTTTTTTTAAAGCACTTTGCAAATTGGTAGCAGGCAAATTTTAGAATTGTAACATAGCTTAGAGTCATGGTTCTAGACGAGGTAATGAGAAGTCTGTGTCAGAGTAATTTCTGTATTTGTAATCCTCCTGTTTGCAAGTAACAGATAAAAAAACTGAAAGTGACTTAGAATCAGAGGCAGAGGTAGGGAACATGTATGTTCACACAACTGGAAATTTTAAAAATGGAACTGGGTTCAGTGTTTCTTCACCAAGAGTCTGGTCCCCATCTCTCAGCTCTCCCTCTCTTTTGGTTGGGGGTCTATTGCAGGCTGCTTCCTCCCTTCTAGAAAGAGGATGGCTGCCAGGTTCAAGACCCTGCTAGTCAGAGAAAAGGAACACACCTCTCCCTGGTTGACTTAGTCAGAGAAAAGGAACATACCTCTCTGCTGACAAGATAGCTAGTTCATGGAAGCAATACTGTACATCAATAATTACACTGCTCTTATAAATTTATATGGGCATGTTTGGCAGTATATAACTCGCAGAGTCTTAAATTGGAAGGGTTTCTGTATAAAGGATAATAGATTATGGCTAGAATGCAGTTAATACAGAACCTGATGATATAAAGATAACCCCAGGAAGTTATCCTTAGAGTTCAAATTTGCAATCACTTTAACCAAGAGCCCAAGCACAGTTTTGTGACTTGTAAAAAATATGGAAGATGAAAATTGCTAAAATCTTATATTCTACATTTAGATTATGGCTATTAAAAGTTCTAAAATAACTGTAATTTTGCAAATTACAAGTCCTATTAGCTGACAGGTCTGGTTGGATTACTCATCCATTCCTGAACTAATGGGGGTAAGGCAGGGAGGCTACTAAGAATGGGGGTGATTTAATTAACTAGGGCTGCTCATGCCTCTACCCCTAAAAAAGTAGGGTATGGGATCTAACCACACTTAAGTCAATAACACGGTCTACTGTGAGAATTGTTCCTCAGAGAAGGTCAAAAGATACTTGTTTACTACAACGTATGATGCCCATCCAAGAATTTCTGATATGTTCACTTGAAGCTTCCTATGATTCTAGGGTCTAGATAAGAGGGGTTGGTGGTTGAATAAATTTAAAGGAACATTAAAATAGTCTATAATTTAAATGGATAACTCACTGGGCTGTAGTGTGGATGACCACAAGAGGAGGTTCAGAAGGTATTTGAAAAAATAAAAAATAAAAAGAAGGTATTTGAAAATACAGTGGGAGGGATTAAGAGTGCTCCACTGAAAGATGCACACTAGACTAGCATTCGGAGAAGGCAACGGCAACCCACTCCAGTACTCTTGCCTGGAAAATCCCATGGATNATGTGCCCTTCTCCAGGTATATTTCCCATCCAAGTATCGAACCCATGTCTCCTGCATTGCCAAGCAGATTCTTTACCACCGAGCCACCAGGGAAGCCCCTATTTTACATGTAGTAGTGTATATATGCCAATCCCAATCTTCCAATTCATCCCATCCCCTTCTTCCCTGCCATCCACATCCACATGTCTGTTCTCTATACCCATGTCTCTATTCCAACACTGCAAACAGGTTCATCTGAGCCATTTTTCTAGATTCCACATACATATATGTGTTAATATAGGATATTTGTTTTCTTTGTCTGGCTTACTGTATGACAGTCTCTACAAATTACCCAATTTCATTCCTTTTATAAAAGTGTATGGTCCCTGAAACAACCTGAAAAACAGGTAGGTATGTGGCTCTATCACTGTGGTTTGGATTCAAATGAGACATTTTAGTTCAGAGCAAGAAAAATTAACCGAATGTTGAGAGGAAACTATTTATTACAGAGAACAGATGATGCTTTACGGAGTTGATTGATTGCTTATATAATATCTCATTTACTATTGCACACAATCATAAAATAACAGTTTTCCTACATATTTCCTGGGGATAAGCCATTAGTTTCCAACTAAATTAGGAGACCTGTTTGAAAAATGACTCTGAGAACCATTTGAGGTTATGTCAAATTTTTTCTTGCATGATAGAGTAATATGGCTTCATATTTGCCCAATGCATTACTATGTCAGAGCCAAGAGACCTGAACAAATAAATTGTTATTTTATTACAAAATTCAGCTTGAATGAAGAAATCTAGGTAGTCTTAAATAAGCATTTTCCCAGGCTTCATTCCAAAATAAATGGTGAAATTCAAGATAAAGACTAAGCTTATAGATCCCACCCCTCCTTTCCAAGTTCAACATGTTTCAAGAGGCTGAAGTAAACTGAATGAAAACTACACATCTGTAGCTTTCATTGTTTCTGCTGGCACTCAGCCCATGCTCTAAGATGAAATGAATTTTGCAGAGAGAAAACAAATTTGCAAAAGTTTCAGACTTCAATTTTTTCCTCTTAAGCTTGACTGCATGTGCATGTGCTCAGTTGCACTACAGTGCCCTACTCTTTGCAACCCCATGGCCTCTACCCTGCCAGGCTCCTCTGTTCATGAGATTTCCCAAGTAAGAGTACTGGAGTGGGTTGTCATGCCCTCCTCCAGGGGATTTTCTCAACCCAGAGATCAAACCTGCATCTCTTGTGTCTCCTGGTTTGGCAGGCAGATTGTTTACCACTGTGCCACCTGGCTATTTGCTGGAACTTTCCTAGGCTGTCAACCAAAGAGCCTATAGTGGCCCCTCCAGCATAGCAGTCTAAGAGTAATAAGACTTATTTTGTGGCTGTTCAAATCTCCAAGCATGAGTGTACCAGTGAATACAACAGAAGCTGTGTTACATTTTCTGATTTAGCCTTGGAGGTCATACAGTCACTTCTGCATTCTGTTAGTTACAAATGAGGCACAAGCTTACCCAGATTCAAGGAGAGAAGATATTCCAGTATTCTTGCTTGAAGAATCCCACGGACAGATGAACCTGGTGGGCTACAGTCCACAGGATGGCAAAGAGTCAGACATTACTGAAGTAACTTAGTACGGCACAGCACAGCATGAAAGCGCTATATTTTCACCTAAATCTGCTCCAGTGTAGATGAACTAACCAGTAGTTTATTCTTCCATCCCTGAGAAGATGTTGAACCAAAAGGACACATTTATATTAATTCCTCCCAAATCCTAACCACCCATCTCCAGCTACTGAATACGAATACAGATTAAGTGAAAATATTAAGAGAGATTATAGGAGTACAACAACACTGATCTCAACTTCTAGATGAAATCTAAGCCTCTCAAAGGTATTGTCTACTCAGCCTAGAATGTGCTGGATCTCTATGGATCTCAACAATTCAAGTCAAAAGAAAACAATAAATTTGTTTTATTCATTTACTTTCTGTTTATCTGTGGCTCGTTTTTTTTTTTTTTTTTAAGGGTAAGTAGAAAACAGAGGAAGGTATGAGTGACCCACGGACCCCACCACTGCCCCCAGGACAATACAGCAACCTTTGCTAGGAGAAAGGCTAGCACTCGTTCTGGAACCCTGAATTTAAATTCAATCTTCTTCTGGAACTTCCATTTTTATTTGCTAAATGTGGTAGTTTTCAGATGGCCTGACCAGTCTCATTTGCGTTTGCGTTGCTATTAAACTTCTCAGGAGTCCGGGATAATGCGCCATCGTCTCGGTCAAATCCTGCAGTTTGGGTGAGACGTGAGATACCAGCCAGAATTCCACAGACTTTCTAGGTAGGCTTGGGCTTTTCCCTAAGTGTGGGACGTCACAAATGCTCATTGACCTTGGGAGCAATTCCGAAGTACTTTTTTAAACCTGATGGTCTTAGTTCCAGCCTAACCGCTTACGAGGATGAAGTAATTAGTGAATACTTTAATAATTATTTAATACTTTAATCTTATTAGGAGCAAAACGTTTTATCAGTGAGAGTGACAGAGGAGGTGTTCTTAAGCCCCCGCCTACTTGGAGGTGAGGGAGACGGGACTGAGGATAACTTGGAAGTCAGGAACTGGGGAATTACACCTGAGGGAACTCCGGGCCTTAAACGACCAAGGATGAACACCCCACAGCCGCCTCTACAGACAAGGCGGCAAGACCTGAGCGCGCTCCCAGCAACCGTGATTCTCGCAGCGTTTGTAGCCACTACGTCACGGCGTTCTTCGCCTCTCATTGGGCGAGCCCATCCAATCATGTGGCTCTGGTGTGTCGTATAAATAAGGGCGAGGAGAAGGCGGTGGTCCGCCATTTCGTGGACGCCGGGTGTGCGAGAGCATCCGGAACGGTGGGCGGGAGGGAACTGAGAAGACCTAGCCTAGGTTCTGTGGATTTGGACCTCCGCATTTCTAACCCAAGATCTCGGTAAGCGAACGACTACCAAAGGAATGAGGTGGGAAATGGGCTTTAAAGTGGCCGAAGTGGGGATAGGCCCAATGGCGGCGGTAGGCTGAGACAAAGAGACGCTGCCGCCATTTTGTGACGTTCAGCTCGGGGCTGTGGCGGGGGCTCTCGGCCCTTCGGAGGTATACCCAGGCCTCAAAGTGGAGCTGTTTTTAATCCTGTACTGGGAACGGAGAGGCAGTGAGCCGGGAAGGAAGATTATCCGAGTCGAGGCGAAGGGGGACTCGGTAGTCGGTTGTACTCCAGGCCGCGGCTTTTCAATTTATGGCGCCCTTTTTTTTTTTGGTAGCACGTTTCCTTAGGTAGCTTCTCAACGTTTTTTCCCTTCAGGTCACTAATCAAAACTGATCCTTTCGAACCATATTAATTGATTCATATACTCACTTTCATTTTTATTTTTATTTTTTGACGAGTTCACTTTTTACCGTCGGGACCTAATGACTTTTTTTTTTTTTTTAAACCGACTTTCCTTGAGCTGAATTGTTCTTGTGACTTTTCCTATTAATGCGTGGGCCTGAAACTGGTCACCGTAAAGTTTCTGGAAAGGGGGAAAAAAATCCATTCCCCAGCAGTGGTTTGGCCTCAGAACTGCTGGGTGCAGGGTGGGGTCACGCAAATAGGATGTGTCTGGACTGGTTTTTTTAAATTGGATAAACCCAGAGTGAGGAGAAAATGGTCAAGCCCTTGAGCTGAGTTCATGGGCAGACTGCTCTTTTATGCAATTGATAACTGGCCTATAAGTTGATTAGATATTGCTAAGTGATTGTATAAGTGTTTGAAGTTTGTAAAAACGTAAGCCCCTTGGGTGGCTTAAATTTTACGCAACAAATGTTTTTTTCTCTGAGGTGGAATTAACATAAGCTTCATTTTAAAGTGCACGATTCAGAGGTATTTGATATGTTCACATTGTTGTTCAGCTATCACCTCACTAGTTTGAACATCTTTTATACCCAATGAAGTGACCTGTATACCGAAGCATCCATTCACCTTTTGCTCTGTCCTGTCTTCCCAAGCCCTTGGTATTTACTAAAATGTTTCTGAATTTGCCCGTTTTGGATAATTTACATCCTTGGAATCGTAATGTGTGCACTAGTTTGTGTCTGTTACCTATAACGGCATGCTCTGATAGGTCATTTCACATTTGTAGCATTTATGGGTATTTGATTCCGGAATAATTTGGATAGTACATTTTGCTTATCTACCTGTTGCTGGATATTTGGCTTGACACTTTTTGGCTGTTGAGAATAGAGTAAGGTACATTTTTTATTTATTTTTTTGGTACATTTTTAATTTATTTTTTTGGTACATTTTTAAAAAAACATTTATCTTGCATTGTGAAGAGTGCTGGTTAACTTGACCTGTGAAGGCACATTAGTGTCGCTTTTCTTGGTGATTTGTCTTCAGCAAGTTGTTTCATTTTGTTTTTTAATTTGCTTCTGAGTAGGTGATTCTCCTCTTCTAGGTGAAATTAATTGAAATAGGTAAAATGCTTAGTTTCTACTTTGGTAAACGCTCCTCTGGTGTGTGTTCTTCCCTGCTGCGGCCCTTCNTCCCCCCCCCCCCCCTTCACAATTTGTTCTGACTTCTATGCAGTTATCGGTAACTATTGGGATAGTCCTAGCTTTTTAGTATTAAGTTCTTTACTAAATCTATTTTTCACAGTGTATTATAATATATATATTTTTTTTATTGCAGAAATGCATCGTGATTCCTGTCCATTGGACTGTAAAGTTTATGTAGGTAATCTTGGAAACAATGGTAATAAAACTGAATTGGAACGAGCTTTTGGCTATTACGGACCACTCCGAAGTGTGTGGGTTGCTAGAAACCCTCCCGGCTTTGCTTTTGTTGAATTTGAAGATCCCCGAGATGCAGCTGATGCTGTCCGAGAGCTAGATGGGAGGTAATTTGTTGATTAATTTAATTAATGATAGTTTATGTTTAAAATCTCTAGAATGTATGGCTTTTAGATTTCTTCTTTGCTATCTGAAATTGTTATTGGAAATTTACATAAAACCTTTTTGGCAGTCAAAAAAAGTGAACAATTTGTGAAGATATCTAGGAAGTTTTTTTATTCAGTTGGCCATTGGAGAAAATAATTTTAATGGTCAGTTCTTGGGTGTGTAACTTCATGTGATTGAAACATTTTAATCTAAATTCACCACAAAGCATCAATCATGTTACCTTTGAATTGTGTCTAAATTGTGGATCAATCATCCCTCTTAATGGCCACAGATTGTAAGTGGCTGATGGTTATATGGGTTTATTGTACTATTATCTTTTTGATACATGTTGGAAATATTTAAGAACTGCATCATATAACAATATTTCCCTTTGCATTACAATATTCTGTTAGCTGGCTGGTAAGTTAACACCTGAGTCTTAACAGTGAACAAGTGTGTTGCTCTTCTTCATGGCATTTGAAAACTATTGGGTTTCATGAAACCAAGGAAAAGAATTAAGATCCAAAAATTAAAGGGTTTGCGAGTTGATATGTAGAAGGTCATTTATCTAAGCAGATTACAGAAACATTTTTCCAGGACCCCACCTCTTCCCAATCATTGTCCACATATCTAAACTTAGTGGTTGTGGACCAATGAGTAGGTGGAATATAAAGGTCTTTTTTTTTTTTAATAATTGTTCTCAGCTACAGTTTCTTATATTTAAACTGTTGTGTGATGATTGAAGGGAAAGGAAAATGTAAAATGTCCAGGATGCTTCTGTCCCGTTTACTGTTGTTTGCTTAGAGGGGATAGGGAGGAGAGAGACCAACAAATAAGAGTATTTATGATTGGTAAACAGTTGCTGCAACTTCCCAAGGAAGAAGTCAAAACAGGATGTTCGGATGAACTAGCTTGGAAGATGAATCCATAGGTTTTCATATTTAAGTTATAACTGTTAACATTGAGCCCAGTGCTCAGACTAACAGCAATAAAACATAAGGGAGTTGGTTTTCTTTACTAGAAAAAGATAAGGAACTAAAACTTGATTTGGTATTAAGGATTCTGCAGACATTCAGTTGGATTCTTTGCAAAGAAGCTAGCTAGCTATAAGAGGGGGTTTTGTTTTTGTTTTCCTTGCTTTAATACACGTTTCTCAAAATTAGTTTGGCTGGTTTAAATTTACTGTTTCTTTCCCTCCTAGAACACTGTGTGGCTGCCGAGTAAGAGTGGAACTATCGAATGGTGAAAAGAGAAGTCGTAATCGTGGCCCACCTCCTTCTTGGGGTCGTCGCCCTCGAGATGATTATCGGAGGAGGAGTCCTCCACCTCGACGCAGGTACTTAGAGAGAGCGTGTTTAGAGGTGTTGGTGTAATGGAGTAGCTAATAGGAACAGGTATCTCTCAAAGTTTGTTGGTGGGTTTTAACTTTGAAGAATCAGGTTTTTATGAAGCGTTTGCTGGGTGTAGTTTGGGATATGTGAGTTGTGCTGAGTGTTGGCTTTTGTCTTTAGGTCACTGTTCATGTTGGTAGTCAGTAACTTCTATCTTGGATCTGTCTTCTAGTTCATCTTCTAGTTGCATCTTTCCAAGTCTTCCCTTATACTTCAGTTTAGGCCTTTTTCCATTTCTTGACTCCATAATGACAAACATTACATTCAACTCTAGCTCTTCACAAAAATGTGTTTTCTACTGTTAGCACGATTGTAATATTTATCAAACAGGCAGCTGTTTTATTGTTACAACTGGTAAAGTAGAAATCATTCTGAAACTAAAGTCACTGACCAATAAAGGGGGCTAAAGTAATCCCAGTCATCTGTTCTTCAAACCCAAATAGGAGAGAATGCAGGTTTTTTTTATAATTGAAAATGGCATCATTCTTGGACCAGGCAGTATTGTCTGGATGCTAACTCCACATCTCCTCAAACCTCCAAAATAGTTTCTATAGGACTGAATTTACCTCTTACAGGTGAGTGAAGTCCTAGGAGATAGGAGTTCAAAATCTTGCCCCTTTTGCTATTTTGAAAAACAAAACAACACACTGTTGCCCATCATAATAAAGAGTATTTGTTAGCTAATAGATGGTTGTACTGATGGCTTGTTTTTCATTTTTTTTTGTGCTTTTTGGTCCATCTATTAATAAAAATGAACCCCGTTACAGAGTCACCATCATGTCTCTTCTCACCACCCTCTGAGTCTGCATTAGCCAGTCAACTAGCCCTTTCAGCGTCATGTGACCAGCGCGCCCCATTCAGCTTGGCTGGTGTCGTTTCACATGACCCAGGCATGGCCAGTCGTCAGGTTGCACCGCCCTTTGGTTCCCGAGCATGCTGTTTTCTCTCAGCCTTCTCTCCAACCTTAACCAAATCGGCAGCAGCCACCTCGACCGCCCACACATTCCTGGCCAATCAGCTCAGCTGTTTATTTACCAAATGTCTTCACAACAACTACAGCAGCAGCCTTCGGCTAACAAAAAAGCAGGAAAAATCCACAACACCCCCTTCGCCAACCAACTAAATCCAACGCAACATCTGGCAAAACCTTTTCAGCAAATTCTTCCTGGCCGTCAGTCCGGCAGCCTCACCTCACCATTTCTAGCTTGTTGAAACCCAAAAACTAGTAAGTTTTTCCTGCTTATACAGTTTACTGCTGGTTAAAATAAGGAGTAAGCGGCTTAAAGTAATTCTTTTTTCTGGATCAAAGGCTGGCTGTGCATAATTGAATGGTAACGTACATATATATTGCTTGAATAAAACTTTTAAGGGTGATAGGGAACTCATAATGTAACTAGACCTTCAAGTGAAACTTATTTGCATGTGTGAGATGCCAAACTAAAAATTTTAATAACTCTAACAGATTTAGCTTTCCTTTCTAGCAAAAATTTGCTGAATCCTATCACCTTTAAATGGTTTTACTAACAGTTTTCAAAATTTTTAAATTTTGGGGGTGAAGTGGGCCAAGCTAAGGTAATTTTGATAAGTCTAAACACACTCTTAAATGTGACGATCACAAATGCAGTTCTAATGTAGCACTTAATGGCATCAATATTTACACCTAGCGCGTTTTCACAAAATTACACTATCCACCTGGTACCTAAGTCTTGTCATGGACTTACAGGTTTGCATGGGTTCCAAATACTGGTTTATGGTACTGTTTTTGGAACTACTTGTGGGACTACATTTTGGTGTGGTGTTTGGGTAGTGAAGTTAGTTTGACATGAAGTTTTGCATTGGACAGATCTGCTGTGAAGCATTCTTTGTTAAAGTGAATCCATGATTGGAATACCTGCTTTTCACTTGAGCTTTTGGTTCCTTAATCCTTCTGTGCCCTTTTTTTGTTTTGTTTTCCTTTAAAAATTTTTTTATTTTTTGGACGATGGGTGCCAGTTCTTCGGCACATTCACTGGGCCCAACAGTGAGATTGAAAAGTTGGGAAATGCCTCACGCCATAAATGCTAATTGACAGTTAGCCTAATTTTCCTGTTTTCTGCTTTTAGATCTCCAAGACGGAGAAGCTTCTCCCGCAGCCGGAGCAGGTAAAGTATCTTTTGGGGGCCACAGTCTCAGATGTGGGAGTGTTTATGCAATTTGTAAGCTGTTTTCCAGATGACTCAGTTAATGGCAGTAGACTCTGATTTTAGTAATGAATCGAGTAACATATAGAACTTTTAGCTTTCAAAAACTACTGAGACATTGTTTGTATAATCCTGAATGGCCCTGTTTTTTTTTCTCTTCTTACTTTAGGTCCCTTTCTAGAGATAGGAGAAGAGAGAGATCACTGTCGCGGGAGAGAAATCACAAGCCGTCCCGCTCTTTCTCTAGGTCTCGTAGGTAAGATCTTTAATGACCTGAGTCATAAGAGCTTGCATACATAATATACTAAAAACAGAAATAGGTCTTTTAAGCTACTAGGACAAAATGTTTATAACTTTACTGTAAAAAAATCTTTTGATTAAGTTGTGCCTGTAACTGAGTTAACAGATGGAACTTTTGTTTATTTTTCAGCCGATCTAGGTCAAATGAAAGGAAATAGAAGACAAGTTTGCAAGAGGAGTGGTGTACAGGAAATAACTTCATTTGACAGGAGTATGTACAGAAAATTCAAGTTTTGTTTGAGACTTCATAAGCTTGGTGCATTTTTAAAATGTTTTAGCTGTTCACATTTGTTTGTTGGAACAATGACACAAAGGTGTAATTCTCTATGGTTTGAAATGGATCATATGGGGCATGTAATATCAAGAATTGTTACTTTACAATGTTCCCTTAAGCAAAATTTAATTTGCTTTGAATTTTGGTCTTGCATAGGCTGATAAATAAACCTCTTAACTCCTGCCCAGCTAAAGTCAATGTTTGTAACATTATGGAAATAAAAACTGGCAAAAATTGGAATATTTTTTTCAACATAGCTGGGATATGGTATGTAGCTGTAGTTAAGCAGTTTTTAAAAGCTGCTGTGAACTCAGAAACCAGCTGGAAAAATTAAAGCTTCACCCTTAAACCAGATTAGAGGTTTAAAAATCCCACTAGTCTTCACACTGGACAAAAGGTTGTCCAGTTGGTGTAGAATCTAAGAAGTTTCAAGGAAGTTAGTTTACCTTTGCTTTAGGTTGTAAGTTCCTTCTGTGATTGCTGTATATGAATACATAGCTCTTTGTAACGTTCTTTATTTGGAAATCTGAGATACTCAAGATAACAAATGTCCTGCCTGTTTAAGGGTACATTGTAGAGCTGAACTGAGTTACTGTGCAAGATTCTTTTTTCATGCTGTCATTTGTAATATGTTTTGTGAGAATCCTTGGGATTAAAGTTTTGGTTACAAATTGTTGTTTAACCTGAAAGCCTGTTTTTCCTTGCAAAACTAAAATCTGAGCTTGGTACCAAGTCCAGGTGTAACATTCCTATTGGAAGCCATACTTATATTTTCTTGTAAAGTGCTTTTGAAAATAAAATTTAAGCATAATTGTAATAGTTGAACCCACTATTACCATAGTTCTTGTCCCACAGAAGGCAGTTGGTTACACAAATCTTATTTTTTAAGAAATAACGTTCGAGGCTTTTGAAGTGAAGGGACTTTCTGGTTGTCCACCTAAGTGATACGTTTTTAGGAGCAGAACCCAGTTTAAAGTCCATGATTATTCAGTGACCAACATTTTAAAGTATAGCCACCTGATATATTATAATCCGAAGTTGCCAGTAAAAAGCTTTTATCACTAGCATGAAAATGTTCCACAGAGCTTTAAAAATTGCTTCCATTTTATATAATTTGAGGTGTTGCATGGGAATTCTAAATTGATCCATCATTATGTGAAATTCACTACATGGTTCAAATGTAACAGTGCAGAATTGAAATACGGAGGCATGCATAATCTTCCTCTTAGATATCTAGAGGAGTTGTAATTTCAAACTTCTGTGCAATTAGATTAAATCATAATGCAACAGTCTTGTGGCTTAGTTTCCTTAAATGTGCTATTTAAAAATAGTTTTGGATTGTGCTATACTGACTTTTCTTTAACATGAAAGACAAGTCATTGTGTTAATCTATAAGGATGTTTTATAAGAAATTCATCCTAAACAAGTTTATTTCCAGTGGTGGTCCTTAATCTCTCACAAAAGTATCAAGGGAGAAGAGTCTTGGGTATCACAGCGGAGAACTGGTGTCAGTGGAGTTCAGTATGATCCTTGCTGGCAGAAGACATTTATAAAACTGCCTGCTTACTGAGAGCTCAGGCTTTGGGCCCTTCTGGCCTTAAGAACTGTTGGGATCAAGCAAGGCAAGATAGCTACTGATTCGTGGAAGTAATTCGGTACATCAATATTACACTGCCCTTATAATGAACATGAATATTTTTGACAGTATGCAACTTGCAGAGTCTTAAATTGGGCTTCTGTAAAAAGGAAAGATTATAGCTACAGAGTGGCCAATACAGACCCAATATAAAGTTAACTGATTTATCCTTAGGATCCAAATTTGCAATCACTTTAACCAGAAGCCTTAGCACAGTTCTATGGCTTGTTAAAAAATATGGAAGGTAGAAATTATTAAAACTTTGCATTCTACATTTACATTGTGGCTTTTAAAAAGTTCTCTGTAGTTAACTGATTTCTGAAATTACAAGTCCCATTGGCCAGTTTTGTCTTGGATTCTCAGTTGAATATTATACTGAAAGCAGTCACAGAAACTGACTTGTGATGTAATGATAACAGGTGTTCACTAGAGGTCACTGTTAACACTTGGTGATAACTTAAGGAACACATCTAAGGATTATAGTTTTTATTTTTGCAGGAATAGTTAATTCTATGGTTCTTAATTCATTTGTGGGTTACTTCTGACCTCCATATCTTAAGCAGAAAGAGAAGTTTTAATCTTATGAGATATAGATACCTTTTACCAACTATTTCTATGTTTTTTACAGTTCCTTAAAAGATAATGTGATCAGTAGATGGCATCACCACCTTTTTTAGTTAGACTCACCCATATTTGGATGGAAAGTCCTGGTTGCTTTTTATTGGCGCGTCGTGGTTCATATTTCTGCAGTGCTTTATCAGGAATGGTATTTTCCAGGCCTACTGATTCATTTTTCCATCCTGGGTTATGTAAGAACCACTGGTTTAGTACTTTGTATTAATGTGCTTTTGTTTTCAGAATCCCCAACATGATTTAGTTGTCAGACCTGGTTGGTGGCAATGTCTTCCAGTTGTATATTTTTGTACTAGACTGTTGCCTTCTGGTTTTCTTTTCTTTTTTCGAGAACATGAAAGACTTTATAATTAAAGTAGCTGAAGAAAAACTGGGTTGGAGTACATTTTTATCAAAACAGTGTAATGCTGTTGGATTCAATTTTATATATTCACACAAATTCAATTCATTCTACTTTATTAAATTCATTGGCTGCTTCAAAGAATTCAGCTGTATACAGAATAGTTGTAAGGTTCTGAGAAGAGATACTGAAAATTTGTCTTGATAAACCTAGTTAACTGCTTAATTTTGTTATTCAACTTACTGCTTATTGAGACTGCAGAAATTCATAATATGGTATTTTCATAATTTTGTATCCCCGTTCTTTTAACTACCTGGATGGAGCACAAGACAACAGCCAAAATGTTTCCCAGACTAACCCATGAAGTACATGTGTAGAATATTACCTTTATTTTAAGTTTTCCCTTGGTTCTCTTACTTAAATAAAGCATTGGTGGCCATTTAGTGCCTTATCTATTAGTTCATGTATGTACTTAGTCTTGAAGTGAAAATCTCTGAAAACATTGATCTTTACCTTCTTTGCTAGTCATTGTTGGGAGACTAGATGAGATGGAGAATATTTCACTTTATTTCCAGAGTGAAATTATACCTTCCAGAAAAAGTAGGCTGTAGGTGACTTTCCCCCTCTTTTTGAAGTTCTATTCGTTTATGAATTGGCATTTTTGTTTCAGTATTTCACAGATTTCATTTGGGGCAAGTTAGTATTCTTTTAGTGGCTTTTTTTTTTTTTTTTTTATTGTCCCTAAACCTCAGATTGGGGCAGTTGGGGGCAAGTTACTGAAGAAAATTATTTAGTGAATGCTGTAGAGTTGCTGTTCGTATCGATCATTTAGAAAGGGGAATGGAAATGATCAACATACTCTATTCATTTATGAATTGGCATTTTTGTTTCAGTATTTCACAGATTTCATTTGGGGCAAGTTAGTATTCTTTTAGTGGCTTTTTTTTTTTTTTTTGTAAAGTCCCCAAACCTCAGATTGGGGCAGAAGGGGGCAAGTTACTGAAGAAAATTATTTAGTGAATGCTGTAGAGTTGCTGTTCGTATCGATCATTTAGAAAGGGGAATGGAAATGATCAACATACAAAACATTCTAAGTTTTGAGAGAACTCCCTCAGGAAACATCCTTTTATATTTAGGCAGCTGGCACTTTGTTTTAACTCAATCCAGCTGGCTCTCTTGCCACCAGAATTTCTTTTGTAATGAGAAAATTTATTTTTAGTTTAGGAAGAACCATCCATGTTAACTTTCAAGTGTGTTTTGTAAATAAATACAAATTGGAATGTTGATTTGTCATTTAATCCTTTTTGTGTCACTTTCCCCACATGCAGACTGATGGCATTTAATGGGGAATGGGGTGCAGTGATAAGGCATAACACCAGCTCTGTCTCAAAACGGCATAGGTAATACTTGACCTTTGTTCAATATTGGGATGTTGAAACCTTGAACTATATAGTAATAAGTTCACTCGTATTGTAGATTAGAATGATTTAAGAGATGTTGGTTGTAGGGCTTTTAAATGTTCTGAGAGGCTCTTTGATCTTGAGTGAGGTGGCAAATATTTCAGGTGCTTTAAAAACCCCTTAACCTAGCAGTAGTGGAAAACAAGTGAATGTAAAGAATCTGAGGTGAAGAAATGAGTATAAATAACCTTAATCATAAAGTAGAAGTTAGAGGACAGGAGCAGTGGAGTGCACAACTCTTTGGAGGTAAAACAGTGTTTTACTGAATTTGTACCAATTTCAGTCTAATTTTTTTTCTTTCAGCCCTGTTGCTAAATAAGCAGTGTAGGATAACTTGTCTAGCTTTAGTACTGGTGGAAAGGCTAAGAAGTTGGGAGTGTTACTGCTCTAATGAAAAGTTTAGTGGGGATAAGTTAACTGTCAATCCTGGTTAGTCTTCAGTTGGCAGTGTATGGCTGTTTGAGGTTGGGAATAGAAGCTGCCCACTTTGTAAACAGGAGTAGATGAACACTGATAGTTTTGAAAGGGTCAAAGCTCTTACGGTGGTGGAAGCTGGGGGAGGACAGTTGGAATAGTCAGGAAAGGAAATTTAAAAAAATTTTTTGTTCTGGTTCCGTCTCTATACTCACTTGGCCAGCTGTATCCTCCAGGAAAGGAAGTTTTCTTTTTGAGTGCTGATCTGCCAAACATTGTCCATGACTTTATTTTTATGAAATGCTTAACCAGTTGAGAGGTGAGTCTCCTTGTTAAAAGGGCAAAAAAAAAAAGTTCCTCATTTATCATTTCTCCTCCTGCTAAACACTACAGACAGTCTTGGTGATTCAACCTGTGATTTGACTACAGTGGTACAAAAGCAATAACCAGAAACTCCTTTGAATTTTGATCTTTTCCTGGGCTAGTTAGTGTTGTTGCTGTGCACCAAGGGGCAGCAAGCCAAGCCTTGGCTCCCAGACTGCCAGGTGACCACAAAGGTAAATGAATACACTTTAAAAGCATTCTGCAATCATAGAACCATTTTGTTTTTCATTCTGTTCAGTATTCAGTGAGTTATATGAAAGATTCAGTACTTTGTTAAATGTTTTTGCCCAACTGTAGGCTAATGTTATGAGCATGTTTAGGTGAGGCTAAGCTCTGATGTTCGGTAGGTTGAGTGTGTGTTAAATATGTCATTGACTTGTATTTTCAGTTCATCAAGATATGACTCCATCATAAGGAAGATCTGTAGTATATACTAGACTGAGGCCATACTAGACTCCCAAGCTTCTGTTTTCTGCTTACTGTGTTTCTATTTTACAACCCATTTGTAAGACACCACTTTATTGTGACTAACAGGGTTTAGGACTTGTCCTTCTAGTTGTAAAATACCGTTACGTTAAAAGTAAATTACACACACACTGGGGAATTAATGCCTTTCTAGAAATAACTTGTTAAAGTTAGAAAGGTAGGCATACTGTGATGAGCAAGTGTTTATACAGCTAGAAGTGCTGTGTGTCCTTCAGCTTTTTATTACACGTCTGAGGCATGCCCATCTGAAATGTGCTGTCTGAACTTACATATCGTCTGGGCAAATAGTACAACTGTTAATGCAGTCAGGGTTTATGTGTGTACTTAGTCGTGTCTTGACTCTTCAACCCCATGGGCTGTTGCCTGCCGGGCTTCTCTGTCCGTGGGATTTTTCAGAATGCTGGAGTGGGTTGTCATTTCTTTCTCCGGGGGATGTTGACCCAGGGATCAAAACTGCGTCTCCTGCATTGGTGGGCATTCTTCACCAGTGAGCCACCTGGCAAGACAGCTGGCTTTATCCTGATGCCTAATTCAATGACTAAGATGTCATTGTCAATATAGATGGGTTGTGCTAATATAGATGGGTTGACGTTTCCATTGGTCCATGTTGACTGTTAACCTTGTGTCGTGGGCATGTGTCAAAGCTGTTAATAGTTGCTATGGCTGTTCCAGTCTCCTGGTCTTGACATCACCTGTGTTAACCCTTAAAGCAATGTGAGACCAACGTTGGTGAGTATTGCATGTGAGGACTGGTAAACAAACTTTGTTTGAGGGAGCATTTTAATATTAATTGCAACTTCATAGGGAAAACTATACCAATTATGTTTTCCTTCTTTAAAATAATGGAGTCTTAGGGAGAGTACCCCAGAATTCCACGGCTAACAAGGCTGTTGCAGAGATTCAGGAAAACTCCTCCAAGTTAAGTAGGCACATTTGAGTTGATCATTTAAATTTTGACAGTGGACTTCGTGATTAAAGCTACTGCCTCCAGCAGCCACAGCTTGCTGACCTGGAAGAACACTAAATGATTTGGATTCTCATAGAGGTGAATGGAAGGAAGAGAGTTGTAAGTGCATCATCCAAGATGGGTTCCTGAACCAGGACCAACTTTAGGACTTGAAAGCAGGAAGAAATAATTAAAAAGAGTGTCAGTAATAGGTAATGTACGCATCCTGCTTTATTGAGGAAGAGACTGAAGTTTAGAGAAGGCTGGATAAGTTGTCGAGGAGTGATTGAGCTGTAATGGTGTAACCCGGGTTGCAATACCAGGTGTAGAATAACTGGTGGTGGCCTTGGAGTTCATAGTTGGGAGTCCTATATTTAGAGAAGGTGAATTTGCTAAAGGTCATGCAGGGACCCTGGCAGAGCTGGGACAAGGATTGCCTCAACAGCTACTAAAGTGCTATTCCAGGGAGCAGCATAACAGTTAAGGACTTCAGGGTTTAAATCCTGGCCTCCTCACTTAAAGCCTAATGGCCAGCTGCATAATTTTTAACACTTAATTTTTCTCATCTTAAAACAGGTTAATTACCTTTGAGAATGTAGTCATGTGATGCAAATATGACAACACAGACTGACAATACTGCTCAATAAGCATTAGCTCTTATGTGGCAGGGTAACACTGGTATGCAGTTAGCAGCTAAGGAATGGCTTGTAAGCAAAACTGAGGGCTTCCCTGGTGGCTCAGCTGGTAAAGAAAAACAACCACTTTGGTGCTGGGCAAGCAAGAGTGCTCCCAGTGCATACGAGTATTTCCACTGACCCTGGTCATTACCTACTTACGAATATATTGTCCAGTTTGAGGGGATGTTGCTTTCAGGGTTGCAAGGTCAAGAGGAACATTTGTGGTTACAGGGGTCCAGGCAGATTTCAAAAAAGGGGCTTCTGAAGTCACAAGGATAGGTAGGAAGGATAAGGTGGATTCTAAATGCTAGATGGTTCCTTAGAAATGGTTTTCAAATTAGCCCAGCCTGTATTCAGATTTCCATCTTTTTTTGTGTCTGGGACAAGTCACTTATATGTGTAAAGTTGGGGATAACAAAACACTTCAGAGGGTATTAAACTGATCTTTGTCAGTGGTTTTTTCCACTGTTGGCTGCATACTGGAATCTCCTAGGGGAATTTTTGAAACTAATACCTGGGCCCTGCCCCCAGATGTTCTGATTTAGTTTGAATAGGTGAGTCTAAATAACTTACAATCTGTTAAGATCAGAATTAAGATCTCTTTCTTATCCCACAGTAGTCTTTGGGTATATTTGTCTTCTCCTCACCCCAGTTCTCTTAGGC